ACTGTAAACAGTTCCATGAATGCTCCTATCTCCGAGACTTATAGTTCACAGAAAAATAACTCTTGCACGCTTTGCGTGCCTATGTTTTTAATAAACTGCATGCAACTGACAAGTGAAACAACACTCGTAGAGATGTAAAACACAGTAATCCAGTAATCAGTGTCACTCTATCACAATTGCATCGTGCTCTTGTGCGGAATTGTAGATGCTCTTTTTCACCTTCAGATGATCATTTCCTGTAACAGACTATTTTATTTTTGTACGATTTGTTTCTCATTTCATCTTGCGACACGATTCTACTTGTGATGTTTGTATGTATGATTTGGCAGTGGAGTAAATGTTTTCGTGAAATTTTTGCGGGAATTTCCTTTTGTGGGAATTTCTTTTTGTGGGAACCCTTTTTTTTTTGCGAACGGTGAAAAAACCCGCAAAAATCGCAAAAAAAAAAACCCTCAAACTCAAACGGTTTGAATTTGAACCCGCTAAAACGTCCACGTAGCGGAATAAGCAATCACTACAGGTTAAATTTAGTTTGTAAGAAAAAACTTTAAGATCGATAAGACGAATTAAGGGCTGGTTCAGGACAGTTCTCACATAATGCAGTTTTCAAGGAGTGTTTGCAAATTACTTAAAAATTACCCACAAATGAACAAAAAGATATATTAATACAGCTAATACATTACGTGTATTGTAAAGAAGACAGATTACTCACTTGAATATTAATGATTACATTAACAATAGGCCATTTTACTGTTGTTTACAGTAGTTACCTGGCCATGAATGCAAGCGAGGCTGGAGGTGACCTTGCCTTAATACAGACAGTTGGCAATACGAACAACTTGATTTACACAACAAAAGCAATGAGATCTTTATCAAAACAAGGTCGCCTGCAGCCTCGCTGCTATTCAAAGGCCAGGTTACAGAGCAGATAACTATAAAATGGCCTATTTGGTCGCAATCAGAATATTTAATTTCGGGATTTCTTTGTTATTCCGTTAATTTCTCAGTTGTGGCTTGACAATAAACGGCTGAATTGGGAGCAAATAAACTAACAACAACCCAGTTGGTACAATACGTGGTGTCCTAAACATGTAAGCCAACGAAACTGAATTATAAACAAAACACTTTGGGCTACTTATACAACATTGTACAAAGAAATTTGACAACGCGAAACAAAAGTAATACCGCGCTTTAATCGTCATTTGGTGCCACTCACGTAGTAGCTGAGTAGTTCCACTAGACAAACACTCCGGCCAAGTTTGAGGATTTTCGATTTTTTTCCATTTTGCACCGTTCTTATTGAAATATATGGAGTCAAACTCTCAATGCAAAGTGCTATCCTAATGAGGTAAAATATCTCAGGAACAGCAATGGAAGAAAAGAGCATATTTAATGAGATCCACCGATCGAGAGAGTTTTACATTTTCGCAATGTATCAACAACTCTGGCTATCAAGTCATATACACTTTTCTCGATCACAATATTTAACTATGACGGTGGAATTTCAATAAAATAACTCAGTTCTAATTCATCAGCCGCCTTTTTAGTAACCTGCAGAGATGTAAATTTGCTCAAACATGTTCTTTCATCGAATTGTAAATAACATCCGCCATTTTGTCGTAGCCCTGTTTGTTAAAGTGGATTGGATCACCCCACAACCTCTTATCACGTGGGAGAAAAACCTCGCTCGCTAGATCGGCAAGAATCACCTTTTCATTGTTGCGAGAGGAGAACTCTTTGAGGAGCTCATTTATTTTCAGATGTATTTCCTTTAAATAAAAACATGTGCCCGATCCCTCGCATTCTCTATCTGGAACTGACACTGCCACAGTTTTCGCTCCAAATGTATGTGAAATATTGTGAAGGTTCACTAACGCGTGGAAAATTAATTTGGAATCTTCGATGTCGAAGGAAGCCGCGTTTTCTCTGTACTTTCTCAAGTCATTTGTGCCGCCAAGAATAATTACCCAACTGTACTTTGCTCTCGCGCGTTGCAGAGTTTGATATAATCGTGGTAACATTTCATCCTGTGCTCTTTCTCCTGGGATTCCTGCATTATCAACTCGGAAGATTGGTCGTATTGATGGATCCAGCACTGTCTTATCATGGTTGTCAAATCGCTCTTGTAGCTTTGCTGAATAAGGATGAGGCCGTCTCCTTGTGGCCCTGCCAGAACCCGCAGTCAGCGAATCACCAAAACACAAAATCCTAATAACTCTTTCAGGTCTTGCTCGTCGAAGTGCAAACCTCAACGCGTATAAAATCGAAACTACGAACAGAACTGAGATCAAATAAAAAGTGAAGACTTTCAAGCGCGTTTCTTTAGCCCGCTGTTTGTTGAAGAGATTTAGCAAGGCTCCTAAAGTGTATTTACTCCCCTTGTTAACCGGCTGCTGATGCATTTAGGAGATGTTATTCGTCGCGCCGGACTAAAGGAAAACTCAGGCACTGTCACGGTTGAGTGAAGATATATGTGCAAATCAGTGAATTGTATCTTTGAATTTCTATCACTAAGGGATGCAACATTAACCTGCTAGGATATGCAAATTTGTGTTTTCGATTATGTCAGTGGGTGCTTAGCCTCCCACGCAGTAGCCTGTTCCAGGCTCTCGGTAGCTGGGGACGAGTGAAAACGAGCGAGAGAAAAACGAAGGAGGACTAAGACTTCCCATCCTCGCCATAGTCCTCCCTCATTTTTTTTCTCTCGCTCGCCCTTTTTTCGCTCGTCCCCAGCTACCGAGAGCCCAATTACCGAGAGCCTGGAACAGGCTACCCACGCAGACACTCTTAGGTTTTGTCACGCTCTTGTCACGCGTTCCTTCCCCACGTTCGTGGGGAAGGAACACGTCACGAGCCCTAACAGCGTCTGCGTGGGAGGCTAGTGGGTGTTCAGCATGTCATATATGAACTTTGTGCCAAATGTGAATGTATTTATAAGACCTAATAGGATTCTCGTGCGCTCAAGGTCGTATCTATGGTCGATGTGGAGTGTAGGCTATGAAAATGAGGCACCCCGTAGCCAATAAACGAATTCTCGAGAGTTGATTTTGAGCGAAATTTAGTGCTCTCCCTCTAATTCGCTGGTAAAATTGTCGTAGGAAAAGAAATCGACCGCACATTGTTTCATGGTCTACGCTCTTACTTACTTACTTATTCCTCTTCGTTCCTAATGGAACATAGCTCCTCAACTAGAGCGCGCCACCTAACCCTATTTTGTGCAGTGCACTTTGCTTCATTCCACGCGAGATGTCTCCTCTCCAACTCTGCCATTCTCGTACGTCACCAGGTGTGCTGGGGTCTCCCTCTCTTTCGCTTCCCCTGTGGGTTCCACTCCAGTGCCCTCTTGACGACGTGTCCATCTGGTCTCCTCAACGTGTGGCCAATCCAGCCCCAAGCTCTTTGTCTTATCTCTTGCTCTATCGGTCGCTGCCCTGTTTGTCTCCAAAGCTCCTTGTTGCTGATTTTTCTAGGCCACCAAATCCGCAAGATGTTCCTCAGGCTCTTATTGATGAACACTTGCAAC